AAACTATGAACTAGAGACAGTTTTGGGGAGTGGGGGGCGGGAGGGGAGGGATTGGGGTCAGAATGGGGGGGTTGCAAATGTATGGGGGAAATAAAAATAAAATTTATTAAAATAAATAAATAAATAAATAAATAAATCTTTAATAAATAAATAAATAAATAAATAAAAAGTGTCAAAATTATGGCAGCGGAGAGTAGAATGGTTTTTCCCATGGGCTAGGGGTAGGGAACAATGGGGAATTGTTATTCAATGGGTATGAAGTTTCAGTTATGCAAGATGAATAAATGAGAGAAATCTGATATATAATATACAGCATATAGTTTAACCTAACTATATACACTTAGAAATTTGTTAAGAAGATGGTCCTTATGCTGTTTTTTTTAATACCACAATAAAGACAGTTTAGGTAAATTATCTATAAAGGAGCTGAGAAGCAAAGACTTTCCAGCTCCACCAGGTCACTTCCTTGTGGTTGTCCAATAAACTTTCATAGGTGATATCACATACATATCTTCCTAAGTTGAGAAATACATAGAAAGTTTTAACATTTTTCCTTTATCTGATGGTAGTTTATCTCTTTGAGAGAAATTGAGACTAAGTCTAAAGATTTAAATTACTTACAGACCCTGCAAGCATAAGAAAAAAAAAAATTATCTCATTTTTTTCTGAGACTTGCATTTACAGACATAGCAAGTCTGGAGGTTTATCAACACCCATGAACTGAGTTCCAAGACCAGCTGGGAACTGAGAAGCCAGAGGGAGAGGGCACACAAACAGAACCTCAAATCTCCAGTTACCTGAAGAAAAACATCTTCTTCATGTATGAAGTATCCTGTAACTACCCAATGAAATTCAGCCAAGCCCATATTTCTTTGCTCCTAACACACATATTAGCCAATAAAATTTAACTTTTTTGTTCTCAGATTTCGTCCACATAACTTATTTAGCCTCATTCCCTTTCTTTTTTAAAAAGATTTGTTTATTGATCCAGGCATCTATTTTTGGGCATTTGGGCTGTTTCCATAACTTACCTATTGTAAATAATACTGCTATAAACATAGTGGTGCAGGTGCCCTTTTGAATTAGTTTCTTTTTTTTTTTTAAGATTTCTTTATTTATGCATACAAGAGCTGGGGCACAGGCCAGAGATGCGGTGAGGCAAGACGACTCACCAGAGACAGAGCGGAGAACAGAACAGGCAGACTGACTGAAACACACTGCTGAGGGGAGCAGCAGACGAGTCAGGAGAGGTCTGCTGCACCATGTGGGTTTCTCCCTAGCTGGCTGGGGAAAGAACTCATACTGCAGAGGCTATGGATAGCTTCATAGAGCTGTGCTTAACCCCTTCCACCACCAAGAAGGCCCCCGTTGAATTAATGTTTCTGTGTCCTTTGGGTAAATATCTAGGAGTGGAATTGCTAGATCATACAGAAGCTTCATATACACAATGGAATATTACTCAGCAATCAAAAAGATAAACTCATGCAATTTGCAGCAACATGGATGGAGCTGGAAGAGATCATGCTCAGTGAAATAAGCCAGAAAGAAAAAGAAAAATACCAGATGGTCTCACTCATAGCAGGAATTTAGAAAACCTAAATAAGGGACCAGGAAAAAGACTAATTATAATAAAGTAAAAATAAAATCAACAAGCAACTATAAACCAGAGACACTACTACAGCGCGGGGGAGGAGGGATTACAGTCAAAATAAGGGGGGTGGGAATTGTATGAGGACTATAACCAAGATGAAAATGCATACATTGTGCAAAAATGAAAAATGATGTAAAAATATATAAAATAAAAAAATATTTATTTATTTATGCATACAAGAACTGGGATGTAAGCCAGAGGTGTGGGGAGGTGAGAGGAGTCACCAGAGAGAGCAGGGAGCAGAACAGACATATCTACTGAAATGCATTGCTGAGGGGAGCAGCAGATGAGGCAGGAGAGGTCTGCTATGCCATGTGGGTTAACTCCCTGGGCAGCCTGGATTCAAACTCGTGGTGCAGTTGCTGGCAACAGCCTGACAGCGCTGTCTGCTGCCTGCGCCACCAGGGAGGCCCCCTCATTCCCTTTCTTAATAGGGGAGATTGTTTATAGGGCAGGCCCTTGTCCCCTGTGTTTGACTTGTGAGTGACAGGTAGCTGGCCCTGAGTTCAGTATCAGAATAACCATTTTACATCCTCCCTTGTTGCCAACAATGTGTTGGACACACAGAAAATACCTTGTAAATATATGTTGCATTGAGTTAGTATTTTACTTCCATCATAAAAATTTATCTGTAACTATGGTTTTGCTATTCTTGCCCTGTTGTAAATAGACTGCTGATGATTATTTTGACCAAAGTTGAAAGATTTCTTCCATATTGGTTCTGCCATCAAGGGCATAGACCCAGTCATATTTCGTTAATTCACAAGTGACTTTTATTCTCTCGCATATATTCTGCTCTTCCTCTGAAGAACATAGAGGAACCTGATTTAGCTTTGAGGTAAGCAAAATAGACCTATTCAAATGTCAATTTCTTAATTGCTCGTGCCTATGGAAGTTCAAATTGAATATCATATTTTGATAAAATACAGAAATGTACCTGGAAAAGAATGTATCCTTAACAGGCATGATGAAAGAGAGATCTATATCATTTAATTTGCTATTAGAGCTCTGGGAAATATAGCCATTTAGAAGACCTTTATGGATTTTGTAAATGTGTTAAAGCCTTCATGTGGTACTAAATCAGCTACTTTCATACATGAAATTTATTTCCTTATTTTCATTTCAATGAATAATTTCCATTGAGTAGTAACTAATGGAATCCTAAAGAGAGGTCATTAGACATTGGTTTCAACAAATGCCTTTTGATGTAATAGACTTCTGAACACTGGCAGAGAGCACTATTTTTCTAATAAATAGTAATATAAGTTTTTTCTAGTTATCAAAATATCTGTTTATACGCATGGAACACCACAATTTTAAAGAAGACACGAGTGCATGATAATAACTTCCAAACAGCTTGAGAAGAAGCATCTAAAATTTTCTTGTTTATTTTAAAGATAAATTTTGTTTTCTTTTTGCTTGCTAAAATAAAATACTATTGACTTTTTTTTAACAAGTTTTGGTTGCTCTATGAAGCTGAAATAGATCATTAAATAGAGATGGAAATATCAATTCTATGTATAACCATGCAACAACTACACCTATGTAACAGCTTTGCTATATTTAGATGCAAATGGTGGGGGGGAAAGGAATTCAAGCAAAATCCTTGTACTCAAAATGTGCTACTAGTGAACTGAACCAGGTAAAAACAACAAAAGCAAGCCCATTTTGATTTTTATAAATTCAGGTAATTCAGGAAAAAAACTATTTTGTTTTTTTCCTACTTACATTTTATAACTGTCAGTCTTTTGCAAAACTATATGATTTTGGTAGCACAACTTAGCACCTCCATATGTGCACCTACTTCAGTCACCATCCACTAAAACTCCAGTGCCATTACCCAATTGCCCAGCTTCTCTTTTCCCCTCCTCCCACCACCCATTCTCTCAGGTAATCGGTACCTCTCACAGAGTGTCTCACAGTGACTAAGAATTTTTTTTGCTGTGCTCTGTCAGTTTGTTTTCTTTGGTTATTTAAATTCCACAAATAAGTGAAATCATCTGTTAACTCTCTTTCACTTTCTGACTTATTTCACTTAGCGTGATCACCTCAGGATCCATCAAAAGGCACATTTTATGTCAAAAGGCACATTTTCATTGTTTTTTATAGCAAAGTAGTATTCCACAATTTATTTATCCAGTCATCTGCCATTGGGCATTCAGCTTGGTTCCATGAATTCGTTACTGTGAATAATGTTGCTATGAATGTTGGAGTCCATATAAATTTTCAAATTATTATTTTCATATTCTTAGGGCAAATACCCCAAGTGGGATGACTGAATCACATGGTCGTTCTATTTTTACCTTTTTGAGGAACCTCCATTCTGCTTTCCATAGTGGCTTGCCTTCCCATTAACAATGCATGAGGGTTCCTTTTACTCACCATCCATGCCAACACTTATTCTTAACTTTTTGTTAGTAGACATTCTAACATGTATGAAGTTATTAGTACTACAAGTGTTGTAGGTAAGTTTTCCAAATTAGGGGATAATCACTATGTTTCAAATAGTGGAATAGAGCCTCCCAGGTGGCGTAGCGGTTGAGCGCTGGGCTGCGAAGCTGCCTGCAGCCTCTGCAGGGCTGGTTCAATCCGCGGCTGCTGGGCGGGGTTCCCACATGGCGCGCAGACCTCTCCTGTCTCACCCACTGCTCCTCTCAGCAGTGTACTTCGTCAGTCTGCCTGTTCTGTTCCCTGCTCTGGCTCTGGTGAATTCTCTCACCCTTCTGCGCTCTGACTGTACCCAGTGCTTGTGTAAATAAATAAATAAATCTTAAAAAAAAAAGAAAAAGAAAAAGAAAAACAAATAGTGGAATAGATGGGAATCCTATACAACACAACAACTTTTATATTCACCTGGAGATTTTAAAATAGATAAATCAGATGGCCTGATTAGATAGATACATACATAGATAGATGCATAGATAGATACATAGATAATCAGGTAGAATTTGTCAAAAAATGGAAATGAGGAAACAGAAAATCTACCACAAATTGCCAAATTAACATATTAAAAGGACACAAATGACCATTTTTATACAAACACAAATTACAGTTGATAAAATTCTACATCATTTGTTTTTGTCTCTTCCTCTTTGTCTGACTCCCTTGTAACCAAGCAACACCTCTTTGTTTCTGCGTTTGTTTTTCAAACGTTATTGATTTGCAATGGTTTACATAACTATATCATTTGGGGAGTACAACCTCCCACCTTCTTATGTGGACATGCTTCACTCACCCTCCACCAAAGCACCAGTGTCAATACCCTATTACCTTCTTTCCTACTCCCAACCCCTCCGGTAAGCAGTATATTTTTCAGAGTCTAAAAAAATATTTTAGCTGTGCTTCTTTGCAAAATATGGAATGCCAATGAATGTGTGTGTCAACCTTGCAAAGAGGCCATGCTAATCTCATTATCATTCCAACTTCAGTATTTGTACTGCCAGTGGGAGCACTCCACATCTGTGAAATATCTATGTAACTCAGAAATCTATGGAGACTTCCTTAACTAGATGAAACATTTGTAACAAAACACAATGTAAACATTTAATATACTACCAGAGATTGAGGGGGAGGGTTTCAGAAACTGTAAGTTAATATGATGTTTTAGTTTATTACAAGGATAAATTACATTGAATTTTTAAAAGTCAGGCTATGAAAAACGCATAAGAGACTAAAAGCAACAAAAACAAAATCATAAGCAGTTGACTATGATGCTATACTTATATAATAGTTGCCTGAGCTGGTTATTTCAAAGCTTGTTTCAAGAATCTCACTTAACTTAATACTTTGATCAGTCCCTCTGGGTTTGGCAGGGTGGGTGTGGGGAGTTGGGGCATATATGTATTTCATAAATTCACCATGACAAAAATTCTTAACTTAGATTCATTCCATTCAATTCTGGTTCTTGGCTATTTCTGCCTTCATATTACTGGCTTTCTACTAAGGAAATTGATTTATTGTCAGGAAAGCAGGCCCCTATTGGACAGCTACATCATCTTCCATTACCAACACCTTACCCTCACTCCCTACACACTGTTTTAGAACTCCAGAGTACTTTCAGGTCCATTATCTTATCTGAAGCTATGCTATAGCATCAAATAATGAGGAAAACAGTGCACAGAGAGCTAATTTCCTATCACAGAATTTATAAGCAACAGAGCTTAGAGGAAATGGAGTACAATCTAGATTTTTGACTTAGTTTAGTTGGTATTTCTGGTTATTAAAATAAAGACAAACTTTGCTAAAGCATAGCTATTGGACTATATTTGGCTTTTGTGAGATAGACTTTTAATGTATCTTTTTATATTTAAACAGCAGGTTTATTAGGGAGGGGACAAAACAGTAAAAGACACTTGCATAGACACAAGCAGGCAGAAAGAGATGCCTCAAAAGGGACAGGTTTGCTGACAGAGGCCTGCATGGTTGCAGGCGGGCGGCCTTGAGGAGAGCTGCCTCCGCTGAGGGAGGTCAGTGAAGTCCCGGCATGGTACAGATCACAGACAGGCAGGAGGCTGCTGCCCTGCGGAGGAGAGAGTTGGCGGCGAAAAGAAGCACCTGCATAGTCACAGGTGGGCAGAAGGGAGTGCTGCCGACTTTTAATGTATTTCATAAACGTGAAAAAACTAAATAATGTCGCTTATCCCATTCTTTAAAATCCCTCATTTTTCTTGAGCAATAGCCCATATTGAATGTTAGAGCCTGGTGACAATGTAGTCTGGTATGTTTGATTATTCTCCTTTCTTTGAAAATAGCCTCTAGATTACTAAATCTTTGTTCTTTACACAATTTTGAAATAGCTATAAAGTCAGCAGTTCTGACTATGGAAACCTAGCGTAAGAAAATATAGCTTAAAAGCTTTAGTGTTTTTTAATCTTATTGTTAGAAGGGCTAAAAGTCAAACACTATATATGTACACTAGGTTACAATATTCACATTTTTGTAAAAGTCTCTATTATGAAGTCGCTGTTTAAGAGGTGATGAGAGAAAAGATGAATTCCATCAAGAACATGAAAGCAAAAATGATAGACTATTTTCAATATGCCTAACCTGCAGGAAACTAGAGAGTACTTTTATACTCAATGAACCATTAAGATTTAAAAGACAAGATTTCCCTCACCACGTGGTATTTGTAAAAGTTACAAGCTTTCTAACATTTTATTTATATTTTTTCCATACATGCAATAAATAGCTTTCTATTTGAATTACTTATCATCATAAGGAGAAGAAAGCAAAAGCAAACCATTAATGTTTAGATTATGGAAAAAGAAAATGAATGATAAGTAAAATCTTTTCTCTGGGGACCAAATACTATCTGCAAGAAACAGAATTCTTAAGTATTCATTATAGACTCAGTCCTGATGTGCTCAAAGATATGGTTTGACTGATCAAAACGAGTTTTTCTGCAGTAGAATCAGAGTATTTCTCCTAGAAACTGCTCTGACATCTTATCTGCAAAAGAAAAATTAGCCTTATTTAACTTAGTTGGTGAAAACTTACAAAGTTAGTCTATGGGAGACAATCCCATTTTATCCATGATTCTTCACTTTGGTGTAGGAATTACATAGTACTGCTAGGATTGGAGAGAATGTAGAAAAACACAGAAGAGACCATATGAGGAAAACTCCCAGTTTGGCTAACTCAAAGACTTCAGTAGTTTTCTTAAAATTTTAAAATTAGATCTACCATTTGATCCAGCATCCCCATCCCTAGGTATCTATCCAAAAAATACAAAAACACTAATTTGAAGGAATATATGCATTCCTGTGCTCATTGAAACACTATTTACAATAGTCAAGGTTTGGAAACAACCTACATGCCCAAAGATAGATGAGGAGATTAAAAAATGAGGTATATATACAAAATGGAATACTACTATTACTAAATATATATATATATATATAATATATAGACTATATAGAATAGATTGTTTTGTAGGGTAGTAAGTTTCTCTCACTAAAAATGTTTAAGCAAAGACTGAGTCACTACTTAATAGATGGTAATGTAAAGGTCTTTCATGCATACTATATAGAGTATTTGTCAAGTGCTTAGGAAACCTGAAGTCCTTTCAAATGGGCATTGGGGAAACTATTTCCCTAGGGTAATACTAAAATTAGTTTACATTTCCTGAAATACACAGCAACTAATAGAGAAGATGGGTTTCTTAGAGTTACATTAGGTAGAATTGGAAGAAATTAATGTGTGTAAAAATTGACATGGATATTGATAATTGCTGACTGAAAATCGTGGAATGGTCATCATGGCATTACACTGAGTTACCTTGGTGTTCAGTATTTGGAGTACATGCTGGAAGTTATTCACTTAAGTAAAACTTCCTTGGAATGAGTCACTTGGTTATTTAAGTAACTGTATTTTATTGAAGAGAATTCAAGAGCAATATGTCCTATACAAAAGTCTTCTCCACAATAATGATATATGGAGATTTCCCTTTTATCATTTTACATTATATGCTCACTGTACTTTATCAATTTCAAAACTTAATAGTGTACATTGTCCACAGGATATCATCAATATATTTAATGATATATTCAGGTATATTTTCAATGTAAACTGATTTTGAAGCCATCAGTCAGTTGATAAAAATAAGTCAAACTCTTAAAATTAGGCAAATGAAATGTATAGCTATTCTAGATTGGGAGAACCAGGTGCTTCTCATTTTTAGTGTTAGTTGTAAGTGTGAGGTGATCCATATGAAACAGAGATAAGCAAGATAAGAAAGTAAAATAGTCCTCAAAATATAATTCCATAAAACCCACTAACATTGATTGAAAATCACCTTGAAATATAAATAAGGGATTATTTATTAATGGGTGATTAACAAATATTTGGAGTCACCAAACACTCTAATCAAGATGACCCAAGGAGGCAAGGCAGGTATGTGCTATTAACTTAAATTGAAATGTAATCAACTGACTTTTACCTTGTTGGGAAACTTAATGACCCCCGTAGTATTCTATTTAAAGAAAGACTAGGTGAACAAAAATGTCATCTGAAATTATAGAATTGGTGAAACCCAGGGAGCCAGATGTGGGCAATGTCTAGCCAAACATTGTCCAGGTAAAAAGTCTTCTGTGGCACTCTTCTAGCTCTGACTTCATACTCATCAAAAAAAAAAAAATAATTCTATCTAACAATTTGTCTTGACTACAGGGAGAGACAACCTAGGTCTATGGAAACAAGTGCTTGAGCCTTCAGGATTGTTTTCTCAGAGTAGATAGACATTTTGTTTTATATACCCATCTTTAACACCATGGTTAATGTTAATCCAAGTTTTCTCCATTTCTCTCCTCCAAAAATGAAGCAACTACTCTTGATGTGCTAAGAAAATCAAATGTTTGATGTCCAGACCTTGGATCATAGTGAATTAAGGTAAAAACTGAGGTCTTAACATTAATCCAAGACTTTTGTCAGTACATTGTGTAAAGTTACAGTAACTAAATTGATAAGTATGGCCCTTATTTATAATCTTCTCATTAGCCTAGATATTTCCCAATTATTATAGAAAATATGTTTATACTGTAATTTCTCAATATGGAAAAATGCCATTTTATCAAATGAGTTACTGAATTCAGCCACTGAGCCTATCATCATTGCTTTCTGAAATTACATTTGGATCTGAGGAAGCAAACAGATGATTTTTCTTTTATTACAATTGGTCAGACTTAATTTGAAAAAAGGAAATGTGAGAATAAGAAAATAAATCTATTTTGAAACTTTCAAAATCAACTATAGTTTGCTCGTCTCTTCTTTCTAACAACTGATAGTTAATATGAGAGGAGAGACAGAAAAAAAATTACTGACCAAGACAGCACTACCTGCTAGCTTGATGACTAGCAAAACCAAGAAATTCATCAGACATTTTCTTGAAGAGGTACTTTCAAACTGTCAGTTCACACAGAAAGGTCCTGACTTTCACTGATAGTTGAAGTAATAAATATTTTCAACAAGGAGTCTGGTGGTAAAAGTGCCATTTTGTAGCCTCTCTATTGCAAGTCTTTGTACATGTAATAAAATAATATCTCACCTGTTTGTAACTGATTTCTGCAGCAAATCAAATTATCTACTGGAGGTGAGAACCGGTGGATAAAAAATGAATTGCTTCACTCACTGAAAACAGTCCATGCACTGAAAATCATGAATTTAACTTAAAAAAAAAAAAAAGCTCTCAAGTGCTCTACTTGTAGCCTATGTCTATTAAATTCTAACATCCTTGGTTATGTCTTCTATCAATTAGAGTCGATGTATTAGAATGAGTAAAGAGATGATTCAAAAAGTCACAAGAAGTGACAGGTGACAGCAGAAAGATGACAGAATATAGAAGTGGCAGGCAAAACCATCTTCTCTCCCTACAAAAGAAAAAAAATACTGTTGTCTTCAGCCACTTGTTACTGGAGAAAATATGGACACACATTTAATGAAATCCAGAGGGTATCAC